GAGCATGAGACTCATAATCTCAGGGTAGTGGGTTCGTGTCCCACGTCGGACGTCGGGTGCAGGGTTCTCTAATAACCCATACTGGGCAGCAGCAATATGGGGGGGTGTTGGCGGCAGAAAGGCCTGGGAATCTACTTCCGGATGAGAACTCTACGGATAGTGACGGGGGAACTGTCCACAGGGTCCCGACTCGACGGCACTCAACCACTACCACCCTAATAAATAGCAACAGCCAGATCAATAAACGTTTGTGGAGGACGAGTAAAGATGTAGAAGTGAAAAACACAACAGGGCTGTCCGTGCGGACAGCTGGAGATCGTCTCAGCTAGAGACTGCGGGTTTCTGCTCTGGGTGGGGAGGCTCACCTGTGCTGGTACTCAGCTTCAGCAGGTACCCGTCCAAGTCGATGCGCATCTGCGCCGTCTCGTAGGGCAGGGCTATCCGCGTCCCGTTCCGCCTCACGGCGAGGTGCTGGTGCAGGCTGACGCTCACCCCCGCTGCGATCAGCTCCACCGACTTGGTCCAGGAGAAGGAGCGCGTCCTGCGGGCGTCGTTCTTCACCAGCACCCGGAAGCTCGCGGCTGCCGAGCAGTCCTTGGCCAGAACGTACTGGCAGGTTCCCTGGAAGTTAAAAGTCCTCCCGTCGAACGTGTTGTAGTGTGGGTCTCCAAACACCGTGCACACTCCAGGTTCTGGGAAGAGAAACGAGGCAATCGGGGGGCAATTTAGTCTTCGGTCTTCAGGAAGCGCCCTCATCAAAGCAATGCAAGGTGCTTTTGGCCTGATAAATCAGGGTACCAGACAAATCAACTTGCTACAGAAAACCTGTTAAAAGAAATACAATAAGCAAATATCGAGCACTACTACAGTTCATAGTTATTTCCCTGTGGGGTTTTTATCTTTTGTTATTGTTATTGCCTCCTAAAATACACTCCCAGCAAAAACCTCTCCCTCGTTAAAAAATTAGCTAGGGGTGTTCAGATAAGCCATTGTTTACTGATCTTTTATTTAAAAAAAATTACAAAACAGGAATGAATCATCTTGAAAATGTCCAGAGCTGCAGAAAGCAATGTTTCTCACTTTTTTTTTTGGGGGGGGGGGAACAAGTACTTGAAGCTTATTAATTTATTTCTTTCACAAACCGATGAATGGTTAATTAAAGGGCGCTGAAATGTTACTCATGTTTCTTTAAAAAAAATGTTCTTTTCCTGTGATTGACAGAACAGGGCACACTAAAGCTGCACCAGCACTGGGAAGTTACACTTTACACATTTTTAATTTTAGACGAGCAGCTCATTTTCTTTAGGGTGTTGTTCCTTTTGTTTTCAGATTGGGCTAAATTATGCAAACCTTAATCAGGAATTCACTGATGACTTTTAAAAAGGAATTATCATTGACATAATTTACTAATACCATCCAACTAATACAAAAATATTTTTGAAATGGCAGTAAGATGATTATGTGCAAAATTGGGGAGAAAATCAAATCATACCTTATTATTAATTAATTCAAAAATAACATAAATAGCAAATAATTCAATTAATAGAAAATGTTGTTGTTGTTGTTGTTGTTGTTGTTATGTTAGGTATAACACAGTACTGTTTCCTGTCTTTTCAACTAGAAATAAATTCAAATTCATAAAAGATATGTGAAAATACATTCCCTTACCAATACTTTTGAGAAATGTGTCTCGATATATTTCAAACAGGACTGATGAAAAGACTGGTTTATAACTCCTAGTAAGCGTAAAGCAAATATTCAGGTTTCCTATTTCTGAACTCAACAGGTAGCAGCCCTGAAAGAGCTTCTCATTTCGTAGCCTTTGCACAAGGGAAGAGGCAACAGTCACTACCAGCAGTTTTGAAGAAGGAATAAGAAGAAATAATAACTTACTCACTTTCAGTGCAAATAGGGCAGCAGCCATTCCTGTTGAGAATCTTACCCTAAGAGAAGCAAGAGTTACAGACATTAAAGAACATCACCTTTACTCAGCTTAGAAACCAGAGAAAGGTCAATGGGTGCCACTTGTTTCAACCTCCCTCAGAGGCTGACCTTGGGTCTCTGGGCACCCCCAGTCCTCCAGCGTCCCCTTCCAAACAAAGAGATTGTGTTCTTTGAGGTTCCGTGCTTGTGGATAAGAATAATTGGTTGTTGTATTCTAAATATAGGTGGCCATGATGAGGTAACTCTTCATCCTTTCATCAAAGTGTACTTGTTTCAGGGAAGCTGTCATGAGGAATGCTATATAACTTCAGCCGAGCTTTGATTCAATTACAGCCCAAAGACTAAGCTAGTTGAGATCTTGACTTAAGACACCGGAAGAAATACTGGGTCAAAGTTTCTACAGCTGAAGGCACTGTAATGGTACTTCTTTATTTCTTTGGTCATTTTGCTGTGCTTGCTTCATTTAAAACAGTTTTTGAAACCACTTGTGGTTTTTGGTATGTTTAAATGATTAAATCCTAAAAAAAGAACACAAGAAAAATTGCGCAGATGTGAAACATCTACCATATACCATATATCTACATGTATACCATAACACTTTGTGGGTAATTATGAATGCATGTTTAATTAATAATGTTTTTGTTTTTGAAATGTCAGCATTACAAACTAGAAATGTGTTACTATAGATAGTTACAGTTAAGAGCAAATAAGTTTCTACCATTGCATACTATAAATATATTATTGATAAAGCAAGAACACATTCAATTATTACTTACGTTTGGGCAGCTCTCAATTGGGATGCACTCTTTCTTGTGACACTCTATTTTTCCCTTGATGCATGAGCAGAGAGTGCAGTTTACCGACGGCCACATTTCGCCTTCCTGAAAGACACAGACAAAAAGACACAACGTAACTTCTCAAGCTTGTATCACCACAGTACAATTTTCAATTTCTGGAACAGGCTTGGTGGCTCATGATCATCATTCAGCCCCCCAGCTGCACAGTATGCTAGATGACAAGTCAGTGCCTTTTATACACATAGCACAATTTCTTTGCGTGTGTGTCGCATAAAAAGGGGGTAATTCAGAAAAATGTTTCCTTAACATTTAACATGATAATATAGACCCCTTGGTGTTTAAATTATTTCTTATTAAAAATGTCTTCCTCTTTTTGTTCTCTTAAGAAGAATTAAGCATATCATTACGCCTTTCAGACAGCTTATTCCAAACTGAATAATTAAAATGTTTCAAAACCAGTTCCTTGGGGACTAAAGCAGAGATTAGCAGAGCAGATAGAAACCTCTCTATCGTGCAGTTGGATGACATAATTCTTGTCCGTGCGTTTATTTTTTTTGTGAGTTACGAAAAACAGCATTTGCCTCAAGAATGCAAAATGAAGGATGCTTTATTCAGATCGTCTCATAACTAGTCTAGGATTAGCATTTATACTTCTGCAGAAAGAGCCCGACAGTCTGTCAACGGGGAAAACTTGGAAATCTGTCCCAATCCCCAGTCTGTACAGAAAGCCCCCAACACGTACATGTATTCATCTCAAAAGGGTCAGGTAAAAAAAAAAAGTCTGCTTTGTGCGTGCAGTGCCTACACCTGCTTACCCTATAGATCTTATTCTTGAGTCGGCAGTATTTGACGTCCTCCACCTTCACATAAGACACACACTCCTCACAGCACTGCTCTTCGCCGCCATGACAACTGCCAGGCCGGGAGCACCTCTTCCTGCACAGCACCGAGGAGTTCTGGGATTGAAGGACAACGCCAGGTCGATTAGTGCCGCGCGAGGCTTGTCGAACGCAAGCAGAACTTCTACCTTTGTCCTGCTTCCACACACATTTCAAAGACCCACGTCGCCTAGTTCCTTACATTTGCTGGTGCCAGTGGGAATGAGACAAACACAACACAAAGAGGCCCCGGAAGATCGTCTGTCTCAACCCAACCAGTTTCTTCGTCCTGTGGAACCTGCTGCACGGTGACCTGTGATCAGTTTCAGTCCGCTTAAAAAATATTTATACACCCAACACAAAATTTGTGCAACAGGGCATTGACAGTTACAGCTGCTTTTATTATAGTACTGAAATAATCTTCAGTCGCAACAGGCAGACGGTTTGGTTATTTTTAAACGTTTTCTAAACGTTCGTGTAAATCACAAGAGAAACCCCCAATTAATCCCCAGTTCTGATAATATACCATATTCGGGTAAAAAAAACCCAATGGAAACAAGCCTAACCAGAGCAAAGTGACCTGCCTGATGACAGAAACCAGAAGGCAGATTAAATATAAGCTGGAGGGTTTTGTAGACAGTATGTTGCGCACAGATCGGTCTTACTTTTGGTCTGGAAAACAGATTGTCAGATTATGACATTATAAACGTCTTGCATTCCCCTCTCCCCACACACAACACAGATGTGCTGTATAACATCATGAGAGTTAGAGTGACTTCCAGTCCATGAAATGAAACAAATACGTTTTTATGAGGTATTTTACTTTTGATTCCAACGAACAACAAAGGATGTTACTCCTAGGCCATCAACTCAGATCCTTCACCTGTCACTGAGATGCAGACACAAATCCACAAATATGGAGTGCATTCACAACAAAGGAGAAACTAAGGTAGGTAACCGTAGACATAAATCACGTTATGTTATACGAAGTTATGGAGGCAATTAGAGTTAACATAACTACATACAATTTACAGCACTAGTGAGGTTCGTTTAGAATATTGTGCACAATTGTGGTCGCCACGTAACAGAAAGTATGTTGCTGCTCTGGAATCAGTCCATAGAAGAGCAACCAGATACATTCAAGAGCTTTCAGATGATATCCCACACAGACAGGCTGAAGGAAGTAAGCCTTGGTAGTCTTGAGGACAGAACGGGACAGGGGGACCTGAAAGATTCTTCCGAATGATCTGCAGGCAAGTGCATTTAAAACAGAAACTAGAAGGCATTTCTTTACCGAAAGGGTTGTGGAAGAATTGAAGAGGCTACCCAGCCATGTGGCGGTATCTGAAACTGTTGATTCTTTCAAGAAATGGGTGGATAGGATCCAAATGGACCGGATGGGCAAATGGCCTCCTGTTGTTTGTCTTCTTTAATATGTTCTTATGAGTTATAATAAAAAGTACTAAATCACTTTTCTGTTCACCAGAGGAGATTACAATGGGACTTTATACAAGTAGTTAAAATCCCGAAAAATACAGAATCAAGCCAATGGACTGTGGAATGTCTGTAATGAATTAAACAGCTGATACCACAAGAGGAAATTATGAGGCAATGGATTCGCTGCCGAAAAACAGGGAGCACTTCTTTAAATAAAGATTCAGTGGTATCTGGAGCAAATGTGTTAATATCACCGTGTGATCCTTCAGAATATATCTGGATGAGATCCTCAACAAGGTATAAATATCCAAGTAAGCAAGACAGGCCAAAATAGCCTCCAATCATTTGGTATTCAAGACTTGTAATATTTTTATATTTGCAGCATTGGAAAAAGGAGCACCATCTTTTAGAATACATATTCCATTTGACAGAAAAATTAAATGAAAAGATAAGCACAATAAGAGATCTGGTATTCCATCTCACCTTGCAGGTGCATGAGGTACAGTTGTCAAATTTAAAGGATTCTCCGTTTTCATAAACTTCACTGTGGAACAGGCAGCTTCCAGGTGAAAGATCAAATACGTTCCTTTGACCTACAACACACAAAGCAAACACACAAATTTGTGGTTAATTCCAGTTGCTACACAAAACCACCGGGCGTATTTCCTTGAATCCTGAAGGCAGCCTCTTCCTTAACTTTAAATGTTAAGAATCGCACAGCTCCGTATTGCTCAGATCCACTGTAGTCTCGAACTCGGATTCAGGAAAAATCGCTATTGCACAACCATCAGAAACTGCTCAATCTGGATATCATTGGTTTTTTTTTAATCCAAGCCACCCCCTTCAATTATTTAATTTCAATGTTTCCCCCCAACAAGACAGGGAAGAAAACTAAAGTGGTTGTGTCTTCCAACATGGCCACTTTGACACCTCCCCTTCCCAGCTGACATTCTAACATCCAGATGTCGATCAAATGTCTGTAGAGGGTGTTTCACTCTTACAGTGCTTTGGGTTTGACCTTTCAGAGTCCAAAGAGCAAACAAACAAAAAAAAACGATATTTTACAGGGGTTACAAGTTTCCAGAGAAATGATGAAAGGCTGGCAAATGATAACGTAATCTTTGTAAACGTGTATATTCTGTTACAGATGGACTAAGTGACTCAAGGTCGCGGTGCAAACGAAAAGAAAACACTGAACACAGAGCAGAGAATTACCGAGACACCTGGCGCAGCACTGTCCTGGTGGTGTGTGGCTGAGGTGAGGGGGACAGGAAAGAATGGGACACACTTCCTTCACGCACAGAGTCCGACCTCCCTGACAGGAAACACAGCGGTTTAACGTTCAAGATCCTCGACTCCAGCTCGCTTGACAGAATTTCCGTTAGGGTACTGCAGTTCTCCAAACACTTTCACACAGAGTTGACGCAGGCTGCAGCCCACCTCAAGGTTTTATGCAAGTCAAACTGACATTTTAACTCCTTGCGTACAACAATAATCGCACAGCACAAGGAGTGAGACCGTATCTCCTGTTAGTGACCGAATTAAGCAAGATAAAATGATGTTCACTTTGTGGCTGAGAAGCAATGACGACCTATGACTTACACCTAAAATGGGATGGATCCCAGGTTATGTCAGTAGAACAGATGGAAAAGATTGGCTCATTTAATGGACTAGAGGGTACATTTACATTGAGTATGGAAGGAAATTGGTGACAGTTTACTAAATAATGTCCCAAAAATGAAAACAATTAAAATAAAACTATTAGAAAAGTAGCTCTTCTTCTGATGCAAGACCAGGACCCCATTATTACAAAGACATGACCTATATTTTTTTTCAAAACAATATTAAGAAAAACTGGAATGAGTTAAATAAATATAAATACATGCACAACTAAATTTGTGCTACGCTAGGAAACAAATCGCTGTATTTTCAATTACACCAAAAAATCTGGAAACAATCAGAACAGATTTAGTAGGGCCACAGGAAATAAAAAGAGATCTTGTAAATGACATGCAGCTTTGATTTATGTAAAGGATTTCTCTTCCAAGATGCAGAATGTCTGACATGGCTGAGAAAACTAGAAAAACAAGAACTGATGGATGGATGCTGTATATTTTGATTTAAAAACTAATGGAAAAAGAAATACGTCGGAGATTAATATACTTTGGTATAGATTTGTGGGAAAGGAACAGAACAGTTAGTTTTGGCCACAGAATTGATTCAAAACAGAAGGTAATCATTAATGGAAACCTTTCAATCTGGAAACTTGTCAGCAGTGGGGTTCCTCAGGGTTGACTATTGGGGACATTTGTATATATTAATAGAATAACTATAAATCATTTGAGAGAGGACATGACAAAAGCATGGCAAGTGCTCAGTTTAAATTATTAAAAGAACATGATTGTTAACTACTAAAATAATCAAATTTAGAAATCATGGAAACTTGACTAGGACTATGGTTTATGTGAATGTATGTTACGATCTTGTTCTAAGCTAGTAATTTATTCTATAGCCTTTTTTACACAATTGGGAATCAAAATAATAAAAAAAGAGAATCTATATGTATTTTCTAGCTGATGCACAAAAAAGTTTGACAAGACATCTGTGAGTGTCAGTGACACTATACACTTGGAGGAGAAGAGCAGCAGGCAAACTCAGAGTTGCCTTACAGCATGTTCCAGCTCATTTATAAATACAAAAGACAATAGGTTAAACATAACAGTACCCAATTACTTTTACAGGCCTTCTTGTACTAAATGATGAGTAAGAACATTAGTTAACTTAACATTAAGTTAACTGAAGTTTCCTAAGTCTGGCTTTTGAGAATATGAACCTCTTCTGTTGTTTTACACTGCTCCTTCTCCTTGCAACTCTAGGCACTGCTTATTGAAATAACAGTGTTACTGAGCATCTTTTTGAAAGGGTTAAAAAATGTACCAAAGGGTGGTGGTAATAAATTTACAATGCGAAAAGACCAGAGACTAGACTACATGGGTTTGCTTTTTGTTAAGCAAACAATTCTGTCAGTGCTGTACGAAATAAATTAGGATCTTGAACAACAAGTACAACAGAGTAGATCACGGTCAAATGTCTGGTACAAGACATCATTTCTGGACTGTCAGTTTAGTGAATAATAAGCTCAAGGGGGAAATTAAATGAAGTACATTTTTATTACAGCAAGGTCTCAGAACATCACTGGGAAACGTGCTCTCCTCTTTTTGTACTCGTTTGTGTTGCTGAGAGTGTTTGTTAAGGTGATAAGAGTATAAAGGTGCGTGTTACACTGCAGAAAACCAGGGACTGAGACGGACAGGGCTCGGAGACGTCTGCTCCTTGTTGCGCAAGTTTTATAACAAACAGAGAACGGCAAAAACCTGCCAAGGTATCGTACTGCCAAGTACCGTAACGTAATAACCCCAAAACATAAGCGCAATAGCGTCGTAAACACAAACGTAAGCTGTGTGCCGACATGCTAGTGGGGTTTTCCCTGCACAAATTTAAAGGGGAACTACAATGCCATTTTCATACTTTGGGGTTATAAAGAATCGACATTGATGAGGGTACTTCAAACCACAATGAAAGTACTGTGCACACAGTAACCTATAAAACCTCCTGTTTACTTCATAAAACAGACAAAACTTTCCAGGTATGTGCAGCGCCACATTGCCATTATTGCGATTCCGAATGAGGCAGCCGAACTTCTGATGAGGTGAAGCGGCTCTATTAAATTGTAAACAAGCAGGGTTGTGAATACGTCTCTTTTAATCCAATAGAGATACTGCTCTCGACTTCTAGACAGTTTTGCCAACAAATACTACTTACTTGTTAACTCTGCCTGCAGATCATGTTGGAACATTCACGCAGTGAAATGTCTGATGCACAACCTGTACTTTTTCGCTCGATATTACGATGACTAGTGAGCAGGAAGGGCTACTTCACATCGCAATCCATGGGAACTCGAATGCGAGTTTGCGATAAGATGGCAAATATACAGCACTTTCAAAGTTCACGGTTTTGTGCTTAATTCTGAATTTGTAAATTTTTATCATCAATTTATTTTATTACCGAAATCTAATAACTGGACTGAGAAAATGGGACTGCAGTTCTCCTTTAAATCCCGTCGTCTCCAGACTGATGTGAACGGAAGTAACTTCAATTTGTTATACTGCATTTAGGACTGAAAACAAGGGGAACTCTCATTCAACGTGAAGAATTATCAGAGTGTGGATCAATAGAGATCTTCAGATCAATAAGCTATCAACTGTCCTGAATTGCTTCTTTCAGTTTGTGATATTTCTAATGTTTTCCTTTCAATTTAACGTTTTATTGTTATTACTTGATATTAATATATGCTCAGTATAAGATGGTATGCGTTTAGAGTATGTTGCTGGCAGTCGTGACTCACTTGGGGATGGGGCTGTACTAATGTCTCTGCTTGTAAACTGCTTTGCTCTTCAGCTGTACTCTCTGAGGCTGTGTTAAAACAACCGAGCAATCTTGGAAGCTCTAACAGGGAGCTACTGTACAGTAAGTCAAGTGCTAGGAGCTAAAGGAAACCTGGATTTCTTTCAAGAGCTAGGATCAGTCAGTCTAGACTTACTGCCTCAATAAACTGTGGAAAAGATAGTCGAGAATGAGAAATAGTCTACTAAAAGTCAATTATTCATTTTTTGGTTTTAGAAAAATACAACATTTCATTTGATAGTACTGAGGTCTGCATTCATCGTTAACGGGTCAACACAGGAGCACCATTTATCAAATCAAAGTGCACAGAGATTGAAAGATCACAATAGAAAATAACATCGGCCTTCAAAACAAAGAAGAGGAGAGTGTAATGTTACCCTGCCTGTATCTCTCATGACGTTCACGCCAGTTGTGAGAAAGCGAGGGGTGGAACTCAGTCTTTTTAAGACTTGACAGCTGAAGTAAGACACAGTCTTGCACATACATCTACATTGCTCGTGGAAGTCCCATTTCAAACGATCGCAAGACGTGACTGGGGTGGACAAAAAAAACCAGCCGGTGTTACTCACAGTGCAAGTACATTTGACACATTGATTTTCTTCCGGGTGGAACTCATCCTGTTCTCGATACAGCCTCCCTGCAAAGACACATCCTGCAAGAGAAAGACAGCTGATGAATGCTGGGATCACCTGTAGAGTAACCTGGGGCCCATGTAGCTATTCTGTATTCCTTTATGACTTATTTTTTCCCCCAAGAAGGCTAGAAAGGGAAACCTTGTGCGACTTCACGATTAATCAGAGCCAGCAGGATTTAAATAAGCAGTGACAATGAAGTAAGGCAGTTGTTTTGGGGTTGTGTAAAGTAAAATACAATCTTGCATCAAGCTTTACTGTGTCTTGAAACGGTGCAAGATTTCCTCCCAATCCCAGATAAGTGTTATTAGTTGTCAGACTACAGAGTAGAAGCCTTCAACCCTGGTGCTGGAGAGCCCCTGTTCAGTTTGTCTTATTGGTGACCTGTTTCTAAAGACTAGCAACACTTGACTCAAACAAGTAACTCATGTAATCATGATAACTCTGGTGCTTGAGGCCTGAAAGGAATCTAGATTTTAGTCACGAAATCTCTGACTTACTTAATTCAGTAAAACACCTGTTTTGACTGCTCACAAATGTTCCATATCTTTAGAAACTGGGTGATTTAATAGTGACCTACAAAACCTTCTAGACTGAAGCTGGTAAGGACCGGGGTTGGAGATTCCTGCTATACAGATTTCATCAAACTCTTTTTTCTTAACAAACAACAAAGAATGACACTGTTCTCAGCTCACAGAGTACCTGGACATGTTGGGCAGCATCGTCCTTTTTGAACTTTGGGGTTCTTACAGTGCACAACACACTGCACCTCTGATTCTGTGATGACACCTTCCTGTTGGGGAGACAGTATAAAGATAGCTCACACTTCTATCTTTCTGAAAGGAATCAACAGTATCACAACTGTCAGTTAGTTCTGCATGTACTTCAAAAAGCGCAGAAACCTAAACCAAAGCCTTTTATTTTTAAACAAGGAATTCGTTTTGGGATTTTCTTACCTGGAACAAAAACAAACCAACCAAATAAATATTCAGATGTTTCTACAACACATTAAAAAAAAAAAAAAAAAAACCATCGGCCATTAGGGACACTGGTTTGAAAGGCATTATCTTCATTTTCTGTCATTTAGGTTTATACATCTTACATATACACAATAAACAGATGATGTCCAGAATGTGATTTCAAACATTTCAGGTTTTTGTTTTAAAAAAAAAAAAATCAAGAAAATTACTTTTCAACTACTTGATTCAGTGTATTCTAATTTCAAAGTTGGGCTCTGATATGAGTGAAGCCAGCCCTTAGTTCGTGAATGCATTATTTTTCTGAACACACAGCTGACGAGCATTTTGGTGATTAATTGCTGCTCAAATATCCACTCTTCATGATTGTGTCTTTATTTCTGGTTAGACTGCTACACGTCATGCTAACCAGCTGTTCCAACAGAGTTTCTGAACAAAAATTAACTTGATTGGTAAAGGAGAAAAAAAGCAGTGTTATGTTTTCTAGTTCATTGGTGAAGCATTCTTTTATAGTCTGTCTGCCCTGATGTGGGGTAACTATAAAGTTACTTAATACACTGTTTCATAACTAAAAGCATTCCTAGGAGGCAGATTTTTATAGCCTTAGGGCAACGTTTTCTATGTCAACTTTGATTTTTTTTCTCCCTGTAAACATACACTTTACAGTTCTTAGGTGTGTCACCCAGATGAGATGCCTGAAAACAATTTCTCTCCAAATTCGTACATCACCTGAGATTCTGATACGTGAATTGAATTGAATACACGACTACTTGCAGTGCTGCCTTCTCCTGAAAAAGAAATGTGGGCGTTCGAGGAATGCTGTCGTCATGCTCTCAGTGTATGCACACATAATTCCTCTGAAATGTTTCAGATATCCGTACAGCTGAAAGCCTGGATACTAACTACGCTCCAACTCTCAGCTCCTCCACTCTAAGTCAGAATACATGCCTTGAATTATTTGGGAATTTCAAACGTGTCGAAGGAAGAGAAAGAGAACCTCAGACCATCTACCACTGCTAATTTAGCTTTTTTAATATACAAAATAAATATAATTCTCACCACCAGTATACTTTCTTATTATTTGAGAACACATGTGCAGACTCGTGTATAATGAGTTCAATCCAAAATACTCATCGGCAAGGGGGCCAATTAAAGAAAGAAGGAAATGAAACAACAGGCAGCTACAAGGGACAGAAGTGAATCCTCACCTTGCCTGATGGAAACGGACCATTAGTGCTGTTCTGGCGCTAAGGTCTAAAATAGACCCCAGGGAGGACCACACTCTAGGTTGGACTTTACTTCTGTGCAGAGTATGGAAATGTAAAACCAATGTAAAGGCACCGATTCGTCCTGCTTACCAAGGGGACAACATCTCAAGTGGGCTCGGCAATGAACGCAGGTTTTGTGTAGACCGTATGAACAGTTGTGCAGTTTCAGAGTGGTGCCGTCTTGCAGGCAGATATGCTAATTCTTGATAGGAATTTTAGGAATTTGTTGTAGTTAATTTAAGTTTCTAAAAACAAACGTATAAATACAGTGATCTTGTTGTGCTGAGTCTTCCTTTCAGTCCTTAAGCACAGCCATAATCTAATAAATGATAAAAGACCGACTGAAGTTTGTCTTCTATGACTATATTCTTTCATTTATAATAAACTCCGGAATAGTTATAAAAACATGGAATGGTAGTTCCAGATTAATCAAAAAGTTTTTTCACAGATTTTAATTTTGTATTGTACTTTGGAAATTAGGATACTTTAAAAAATAATGGTCTTCCAAATATTTTCAAAAACTCTTCATTAAAAAGAATTAATATTATAGTAGCACATCTGACACGATACCTTTACTGCAACAAATAAACTAGTAAGCAAAACCGCCGTTGTTATCAGGAGTCAATCAGTTCCTAAAACATAAGAAGCTTTCCCTGGGCATCAGATTATTCTTTTAAATGGAAACACACTGGTAAACAAATTAACACAGCAGGCAGAGTAATTAAGCAAGAAAGATGTTTCTCTCAGATAATGACTGTATTTTTCATTCTTTCAGGGACAATTCAAACACACAGCATTATATATCGTTCTCCCCTGAAATGCATTTATAAATTCCACTTTCTCATACGTTACATGTTGCTTAAATATATTTTTTAAATTCCCACAAAATTAGTTGCAAAACAATTTTTTATAACTTGGTATATTAAGTTTAATTCTAATACCAGTTTTCTAATACCTGGTGGGTTTAATAGGATATAAATATCACATATAGTGTATATATATATATCACATATGCGGTAAACACGTTTGAAATATATATTTTTAAATTCAAAATATTATAAAACATACATTTATTATCTACTATATGCATATATTGTACAAAATAATCCATTAGGTAATATACTGTCCATGCACTATGTAACACTTGATAAAGAATACTGTACTAAAAACACATAAATTGAGATATATTTGTCTGAAATTATATTTTAAATGTATGAAAGTTTAAAGCAATATATCATAAAATATATTTCCACATTTTTTTCATTTTGTTAAATTATGTTTTAAGCAATGCCAAACCTAAAAACACATTTTGAATTAATACAATACCTATACAATCTATTTTATATATTTGAGTCAATATATTTTAGTTAGTTTTACTTATTTTAGTCCATGATTAAAAGACGAGTATATAAAAGTCACGATATACATGATTTTTTCGCCGCGTTCTGGATATTGGTGCTTTTTGTGTATCAGTATTTGGAGATTTAACTTTCCGTCAGTGAAGACTGTATTTCATTGCATGAACTCACAGCGGGTGATGCCTATTGATTATTTCATCAACTCTCCACTGTCCCAAGTCTTTGCACACAACAGGTAATACGGCTTCATAATTATTTTGGAGGGGCCGGTTAATTTCTTTTCATTTGCTTCTTATTGCTGAGTAAATATCACATCAGTAAATATCACCTTCAGAGTCAGCCTAGCCAGCTGAAACGAAGCTCCTCACAGGCAGGAGAAACTTATAATAGGTGGACAAAAAAACCAACTAGGCCTGGTCACTCCACGAACATTAACCTGCGTAGAGGCCTAAGATGTCGCACTTGCGTGCTCTGATAACCTGGCATCATGCAGACAGCAAAACGCTCGATCTCTTTAAAGTTCAGTTGTAATCACTTTCTACTCCAATGCCCCTGCAGCCATTTGGATTGCCTGACATTTTCTTTTTTGTAAATAAGCCCTTTTTTTTTTTTTGCTGAAGACCATTTAATTGTGCTGACAGCAGCTCAATATTTAATTACAGTGAGACCTTGGCTGTCCCTTCTTTAAACTTCAGACACCGAGGAGTGCTTCTTATTAAGAGAGCTCCAGCTGCAGCCACTCCCTCTACTGACTGACCCCCCTCTCTGCAGCTGGCGGGCTACCAGGCCCGAAGTCTCATCACAACAGATCTGCGCAGCCAAGACTATAAAATACCGAAGCTTGAAACCTGGCTGCTGTGGCCAAGATGGGCTGTTGTATCACCCCAGACACCACACTCCAGATTTATGGAAAGGGCTGACAAGAGATAGAGAATGAAGCAGTGAGTCACAAGAACTGTGCTGAGCACCTAGAACTGCCCTACCCCACCTCTGTCAAGAATTCAAACACACAAAAGATTTCACAGGCTCTGGTCTCACATCCCTGGAACTTCTAGTGTGACTGACAGGTGACAGGCACACACATGATATTATTCAACATAGTTTCACTTCAGAATATCCTAAGCGAATCTTGGAATGCAAAACTAAACAACTCTTAAATCTGAGATGTATACCTAAACGAGTCGGACATTATGTTACAGCTAGGTGGTTGGAAATGTGCCCATACCAAAACTAATACATTTCTGAGTGGTAGTTCTGAATAAGACTTGCTCAACTTCTGTCATCCTTCTCTGTCCCTTGATTATTAAATTTTTTCCACCACTCCAGGTGGTCAAACGACTACGACTAACTGGCTGGAATGAAACTCCTTCTAGTAGTTCAGACTTATTTCATGTTTCATTGCATAGTCTACTGGCACAGAGCTTCAAACTGATCCATTTGCTTGTGATCACATTTGCCTAGAGGCGAATTCAAAGAACTTAAGGTATGTCTGTGAGTCATAAGTAGCTTCTCAGTTCGCGACTGTTCCCGTTTTACCCTTAAGTCAGGGTTTCTTAGTTTATCTTGCCATATGTACTACATAAAATGGTAATTTATGGGTCTCCTTATTAAAGCTAGAATCAGGAAGGAGGCCGTTCCTCCTGGTGATACATGGCTGCATCACTTCATCAGTTCAGGTTAACATCTGCCTCCTTCTCAAGATCAGCGCAGCACATTTCCAGAACAGAAGAAAACAGCCCCTGTCAGATATAATCCTGGATAGTCGGCATCCTGAGGCCTGACTGGAGACGCAGGAGGAGAAGCCTAATCCAAGCAGATGGACAGGCCGTGCTGCCAAGTTTACCTGGCCCGTCTCCCAACAGCACTCGACAATAAATCAAGCTGCAGGCTCCCCACCCACTTCAGAGTTAGCGAGAACTGTCAGACTGGCCTGGGACAGAGCAGCAGAAAGACGGGTCCTCTTGCCCTGACAGGATTCTAATATCAGGAACGAGACGCAACCCCGTTCGCTCGCTCACGGAACGGTCGCCGGCCCTTCCCGGAGATCGGTTCGGACAGCGAGCGCGAGGCACGCTGGGTAATGAGAAAAGCGGTACCTGACATGAGCGCGTGGTGCACGAGAGAGACGAGACCTGCCACTGCGTGGAACTGTTGTAGTATCTCCCTTCGATCTGGCAACCTAAAGACAAGGGGGAGAAAATGACTGGCGTGCTTCAAAGCAAACTCTTTCCTGGTTTCCGAGTCCCGGGAATCAGAAAAAAAACAAATCAACACTCAAACAGAGGCCCTGAATCGGGCTAGGCGATGAAGCACCTGATAATGGCACATTTCAAATCCAGTATTTTCCGACTGGGTCTGACTAAGAAGAGAGCAAATACCTGGGCAAGCTGTCGGTAATGTGGGTGGGTTAAACTTTTAATTCAGGCGAATGTTTCTGTGGGCGCAGCCATGACTATCAGGTGGAAACGAGGTCAGTCCATTCTGGCGTCACAGAAATGATGCATAAAGATGGTACCACTTCATAGTCCTTTCAACAAGGAGGCATGTTTTTTAAGGCTTTTAATCCAGTCTTCATCTAGAAATTAACTGTTTATATCAGCAGTAAAAGCTCCTCTCACTCAATCATTTGCGGACACTTGACAAAACATCTGTTACTTTTCAATATGAGTTCCGCTGAATTTTTCCATTTGCAATGAAAAACAAAAAGGTTGTTTTTCACATATAATAACCTGCTCCCCCATACAGAGCAGATGCACAGGAACATGTACACATCAAAAACAATAAAAGGCCCAGTTCATAACTTACTATATTAGGTCATGTTCATGTTGAAAGCTCTACTTGATTAAAATAAAGCAAGTAGTTATGCTTATAGATGTATCTCCAAAAAGCTCAGCTTCAAAAGCACACTCTCTCATAAAATGTCCTTTAATTTAACCATAAAAGTGTTGAAAAGCTGGCACTTACGTGGAAGAATAATGTTTCACTTAAAAAGTTTACTCTTTGCATTATCTTTTATTTCCCCACAGTTGTAATAGAGCCCTGTTGGCAAAGCCATTTCAAAATATCTCAGCAATAAAGGAAACATCTGTCTGAAGGTCAAATTAAAGTCAAAGTTTAGAGGTCTACCTGGAAAACTGCCTTCCTTACTCTGTTGCAAGACCCCCGTTATTATGAAACATCATTCTTCATACTCCCGGCTGTCATTTTAAGTGTTTACTAACTAATAGAGAGAGGAGTACAGTAAAAAGCACATGGTGTTCATATACTAACAAATCGAGACAGTAATCACTCAATCTATGCATCTATGTTCTTACAAAAATAAAGTGCATGGTTTTTGGACAGTGGTTAAATGTTTTTTGTATTGTACATGGCAGACAGTGATATACTCAAGAATAAATCTTACAACTCTTGCACTAAAACCCCCTCCTTACACTGTTCGAGTGAGACCTCACTTGCTTCTCTGTTTCTAATGTGACATCATTGCAGCAGGACAGTTCATGTCCCCACCCAGCTCGTGCAACAACAGCTATCTTGCAAGGTGCCATTGTGTCAAGCATGCAGTGAAGGCCTTATTCCCTCGAACATCTGTGAGATGAGTCGGGAGGTTCTGGGTGGCAGTGGTGTCTGAGGTTCAGAGACCAGTGAAAAGTCATAATCTTGAAGACTGGGACCAAATCCCACAACACCACACCTGTAACCTGTATTGCTTCCTACCACAGCCACAGGTGTGCACCAGGTTACAGGTGTGCCTGTATGCTACTGTACCTGTGCCTGTGACTTTCACAATAGAATACCTGTTGATCAACCTTGTTGGTCATAAATGTGAATCAACATAATGACTTTACCTGTGTGGCCATCTCAAAAAAGGTCAATTTGCCCACTATGAAAAAGATTTCTTGAGAAAATCCTTGTTGCAGCCACCAGCTTATTGTGATGCACAGCATATATGCTTGTTCTGCTTTAAAGACTCACATTATTTTAAAAAGGTTCATAACTCCATGCATCAGATCCGAATTGCACATACACAAGTACTTGGTCACTCAACAACAAAAACAGCAAATAAGCTCAGTTTCAATACATCAGATTGTGTTTTTTTCTCTGGAGTCGTCTTTCCCCTAAACTACCATCAGAAAACATTTCTAAAACCAACGGGGAAAAAAAAATCAAACGGAACAGAGCCAGTTTACATGACATTAAATCAGATCAGGTTTTGATTGTTTCCAGCTGAAGACAGAACTAGGTAGGAATTCACGTAAGAACAGACGGAAAGCTTGCTGGTGACAAGATATTTAATATAGATATAGATTATCTCCTAGTTATTTTGTTAAATTTAAGAAAATACAAAAAGTCTGTAAATAGACAAAATAAACATTATATTTTATAATGAAAACAGCACCGGAGATTCAGCAATCATGATCAAAACGGCATCAAAATAGATTGTCTATCGTTCAATAGTTCTGTAATTTTTTTAGCTTATTTTTATCTAATTAGATGTCATGCACATGTCCTTCTTTATTTAAGTTTGACCACAGGCCGTCTCTGTATCTATTGTGATGCCAAGAAGTCTATTTGTTGAGACAGAAGTGTTTCTATGTCATCTAAAGATAATCAGGTGGGTAACAAGCATCACAGCTAGCCATGCTCTGTCACTCTGCAAGTCCAAAGGCAAGACATTCTGACAGAGATCACACACAAAACACAACTACAGGTTCAGTTTTAGGAACATGTAACATTAGGATATAGGTTATATATATTTGAAAACACTTGATATTGAGTTATATAAAAATTATATTTCGAAATTAAAGAGTGATAACTAATACTGTTACTCTAGTTCTAGAGATCAGAGATACTCGGCAGTTTCACAAGGGACCGTTGATGGATGACTGTTGAAAACAAAGGAATATATCAGAAAATCTTACTTCAGCGGTGGGCTGTACTAACACTTCATATTTCAATTTTACAGAAACCCTGAAGTATCCTTCAATGACTTGGTCACTATATGGAGGAATAGTAACTGCTTGCCTCCCAGCTCCCTTTATATACAGTAACCAGTTTTTCTCTAGGAGCCACAAAGAACACATCCCTCTGTATCTGTACTAACATATTCAGACTGGCTTTACCCTGTGACTAGCGTTAACGGTCATCATTCTCTTTTAAGAAACAGGTCAAGCAGCTCACCAATGACATTTAGCCCAAACGTATTCATTCCCGAGATGCCTGGTTGAATCTCTCTTTGATGGGTACGTCTGAGTCTGGACTCCAGCAACGGTCACTTCAGCTGTTAAACAGTCTCCAAAGTCTTGCTGTGAAGATGGTTGATTTGTTGTCCTTATCTACACCATTAGCTGCTCAGCTCTATATCATTGATGGGGCAGCACATTCTTCCAGAGCCTGTTTGATTGTAGATGTCCCAGGCTTTTATTCTGTAGATAAAATTTGCTAGTATGTCCTAATTCCCAAAGGTTTAACATATGACTTTCAATAGTGTCTTGACATGGTTTTGGTTTGCACACGGCTTGTACTGACTTTTATTTAAGTTGGCTGTTATTTAAGCCCGTTGTTGCTGCTGTTGTTGTTCTGTGTTTAGGTTTGGAGTTCCCTTAATGTCTTTGTACTGGAACACACATGCAAATAAGCATTTCATTGCACTCGTGCATACGACAAAAAAACTGAATTCAACTGATGGGTTTTGATAAAGCCTCATTTTTGGCATATCGCGTAAAGTTTGAAATAATAAAACTTGAGTATAACCTAATGCAACGTTTGTAATGTAAAAGCAGGGAATGCATCTCTTTCAGAAACTATATTTACAATGTCCTTGCCATGGATGCTCTGTGTACCTCCTCCTCCTCAGATCAGGTTATGGCAAAGAGTATCACTTCTGTGAAAGTTCAAATTTCTTCATTTCACGCTGCAGGATATCATTTCTTAAGCCCAATACATTCGATATTTCATCAGCAGCAGGCACGTGTTTGGGCGTGAACTCTGCTTGCTTCCTCTGGGAGATCACTGGCAGGAGCACGTCGAGTCTTTCCAGAAGTCTGTTTCAGTACAGACTTCTTTCAGTCTCATCAGAGACGGAATACACTTTCTCAATTTACCACGGCTGTTCCTGTCTCACTGAAAGGTAAATGCTGGTCTTGCTGTGATCAGTCCTTTAGCTGCAACCTTCAACATAACGTGCGCAGACAGTCACACTAGAGTGTGTCTTTCGTGGCAAAATACAGAAAACGGAAGTGACTAAAACACAAAACAATATTCTTTCGAGCATGCAAATATAGCTGTAGGCACAGAGGTATCACTGAATGACAAACGACCACATGACACAGTATTTAAATGTGTTTTTTTTTTCATATGCTGCATACAAACAAACCTATCCAGACAAGAAATTAGGTGATGTACCTGATGCATAGATCACATGAAAAGGCTCAACTTTTAAGTATTGGAGTCGGAGGTTTTTTTTCTTATTTTCTACACGATGTACCACCATGAACGCTGATGAGAGTAACTCACAGAACAGCATGAAAACCCACTCACTCTACCAAACGTAACACCAAAAGTTATTTTGTAAAGTTGATCGAAACTCTACCTTTGCAGCTTTCACAGCAGGCACCCGTCTGCTTCACCACTAGGGCGCAGTCTTCGGATATTGGTGGACACTTTTCCTGCTTACAGTCAGCTTTTTGGTCCTAAATGGAGCAAGAAAAAAACATCAAGAGATATAATTAGGAATCTGCCTTTCTCAACCCTCAAAGCTTAATTACTGGGGGACTTCTATCATCAGTCTCAGTCGTGTATTTTGTAAGAGGTATCCCTTTGCTTTGTGATGTTCCTTCATTAGCTTTTTTTGCCCAGACTAAATACATATTATCGAAAAACCCAAAGGTTTCACCTAAATGTAATCACAGTCCTTACTGTTACTTTTAAGCAAATAAAAAGTTGTGTGTGGTATCTCTCTGATGCCTTCTCTGTTTCTCCTTCAGAGAGATGTGCCTTTCTGACTGCCGAATTTAACCCGGACTCAGTCATGTAATCTGAAGTTTCCTGTTTTGCTGTGCTTGTAAATAGACAATCCCAATGTTGTGTAACACAGGGAACACCAGAGCATGTTTTGGAAGATCTTGCCTCAGGACATGCAATCAGTATTGCAGTTATTTAAATACGTTACAAACATACTGCTATGCAAATCCAAAAAAACAAAGGATATTAATAGATGTGAGATGCGTGACTATAGGAAACTCAGACCTAGAAACTACTTATGCTTTTGTTCCAATGGATTGCAATTTCAGGGCGAAAATAGTGCTAACAGCATCATATAGTAACATGGAGCAAAAGGCTAAAGTCTCACTTCTTATTTTCTGCCATTTATCTTTGGATGAGAATTGATTTCCTCATCTTTTATGAGAGAGCCAATAGTGTAAGCTGGGGGTTCGTCACTCCTCTGGTTTACAGCACACCAGTCATCATATCCTAGTCAAGGTCAGTGTCATAGAAAAGGATTGGTTTTCGTTAGATGAGAAGTCTATCTATCGATTTTATTTCATAAAAACATAGCAGTCAATAAAGTAATTCATTAGTGCACAATATTAGAGACACTGATGAGTGTTTTTTCCATTGGCAGAGGTATCTATAACAGCATAGCAATGGATTAATAGCCAGGCTACTGTTTCAATGTATTTGCATACCATGGCTCGCCTCGTTATTTTGTACTGATGGCTTTTGAGAGCACTTTTGTTTATGCATAGCTGTACTCCTGTTTCTAAACAAGAAATGTAGTAGAAGATGTATTAACAGATGGTTTCTCAGTCCCCCAGAACAATATGCAATGTGGTCCTTAACTAAATGAAAAGGCAGACTTCGGTACTCCAACTAATCTTCATTCTTCAGTACCAATAGGTGCTGTTTCAGCTGATTAAAGATGCCAAACAGAACTGAAACAGCATGAAGTAAATTCTACCATTTTTATCTAGATACAGTATTGGTTATTACTCTATATATGGCAGAATTAACTGCTGCTAAGGTACGTTATCATGGTGTCATTTTATTAAAAAACACTGTAATGTAATTATATCTTCTCACACATTATCCAATACCAATAACATTCCCGCTGTCCCGATTTTCATAATGGCATTAAACTCATGGTGACCAAATGCAGCTTAGTCGGAAGTTCTGAAACGGCACACATCCATATTCATTGTTAAATAATAGGATTGATTAAAAAAATAGAAAGTTTCAAATGTTTAGATAACATGACTATGTTCAGGTGTACAAATAAACAATCTGGTCGTTACTCTTCAGTGACTCACGCTAGGCATTCCCTACAACGGACTTTCAAGTAAATCAGCATCTCTGACACGTCATGCCAGCCTTGGTTCTCTCATATGGTGATTATAGGCTAATGATCACTAGATGGCGACAGCTGAGACTTTTTACTACCATGCTGAAAATGTCACTACCCTGAGCGACAGAACATTTCAGAATAATGGGATGGAGATTAATGACACATCTAGGCAATATTCGATGCTATTTTACAAATTTGTCAAACGAACAACCAAAATGTTTATATATATATATTGCGCTTATTGTACAGCCAGGAAGAGAGTTTAGAAGAATCCCGTGTTTATCAACACATCAGTCCATTTTCTAACTGCCTGATCCAACACAGGGCAGTGGGAGAGCCAGGGCCCATCCAGACAGGAAACACCCGAGATGGGACACCAGTCCATCGCAGGGCACACACAGACACGGACACACACGACAGGGGCAGTTTTCCCAGTAGCCAATGAGCCGACCAGTATGTCTCCGGACTGTGGGAGGACACCAGAGCGCTCTGAGGAAATTCACTTCAGACAAAACATTCATTTTCACCTATTGATTTTCCTCAAGGGAAGCCTAAGTTCGCACAACAAATCAATGTCTCCTCCATTTAGGGCAGGCAGGTCTTGTCTCTTATATACAAATTTCCAGATATTACAATATATTTTAAGCTTAAACACACATTTAGTCTTTGATTAATGTTTTCATATATCACTTATATTTGGACTATCATTTGGTATTGCACTGATACCAAATTAGTGCTGGATGCTGAGCAGTGCACATTCACAGCAGTGTAAGTGTAGCTTTGTGCTGCTACACAATTATCATTTATTTACAACAAAAGTGAGGATCTGGAGATTCGAGCTGCAGCAGGGAGGAGATTGAAACAACACAGCCTTCTGCCTGAGACTGAACAGACGTCTATAAAAGAATTTCATCCTAAAAGCCTTTACCTACAGTACCCATTCACCCTCTGACTTCTTGTAACTAAAACAGAGCACAGGTTTTTTCCCAGGATATGCGGACTCCACACTCGAGTGTCACTGAGCATGCAATCACGTACCCAACCCAATCATTTGGATCGAGGAGAATCTAAATCACAAGATTGAGCCCAGTGGCTCATACTGACCCCCATAAAGGATAATCCAGAGTGGTCAGTGAGAAAATCCCATTCCTCCATTAACATAATCCCCCCGGTCTTTCTGCCTGCCTGTACAAGCATTCATGTAACCCTGCCTAGCCACTCTTTAATACCCTGTGTGTTCTTCAGCCAGGAATTTCTCTCCCACAAATACCACTGGCTTAACATGGCTGGCACACGTCTGCTGGTAAAATGGACAGCACAGCTCACAAACATTAGTGGCTCTAGTTCGCTACTCCATTATTCTGTCTTCATTGCTGTGTCTCGCTTTAAGGGCTGCAGTCAAACGCAAAACGCCAGCAGATGTTCAAAACGAAATTAGTCATGACTAATTCTAAAACATGTCCTTAATGTCGTGCAGCTCATCTGTTAGATGGAGACACAGACCTATTCTGCAAACGTAAAACAGTGTTACTGACTTTAAAGCAGCCCCGTATTTTGTAATTTTTTGTTTGCAGCTGTAGGTTTTAAAAGTTTATTTTTCAAAAATTCTTTTGCACAACGCAGGATAAAGGTTACTGCTGCCACTTCGTTTCAGACCAGCTGTCAGGCACACTGTCGTTAAAACATGGTGAGCTGAAGGTCTACAAGCAAGACACACAACACACTTGCTCTCTGCCTGTGGGAGCCTCACCCCTGAATGAAGAGCAGTGTTTTGTGGGCAGATTCATATGGAAATTGTAAAGTGAAATGTGGTTCTTGGATCAATTAGCTACACGCAACCAAATGAGACGGGACAAAATGTTGCCCTTGTTTGCAACCTCTGACATTCTTATGGTCTGCCTCAGTATATCCTTACAGTGGTGTGAGAGAAAAACCCTCCCTGTCTTCTTCTGAGCCGCAGAAAGAAAGCTTTCGGCCTCGACACAAATCATTTCTCTTCTTCCTGTTATTTTAAAACACTGCTTGACATATAAGGTTTCTGAAGAGTAACCCAAATAGGCCCACACAAGCAAACAAACATAATGCACAAAAGACTGTTTTCAGCTAAATGTCTTACCAGACAGACACAGGTTATACAGGGGTTGTCTGTGATATTAGGGATCTCCAAGACTTCTCCTTCATTTTCACAGCTGGCTACAGTACCTGTGGGAGATAAAGATCAATATGTTGTTGTTCATTGTTTATATAGCCCAATCCCAGTCTACGAGTTTACACTCATGTGCAAAATCAGATCGCTGATCGAGTGTGAGTGTAGAAC